CCCATCAGCATCGTCATCGACTTTGTCATCGCCATCATCATCATTATTATCATCGATGTTATCGTCATCATCATAATTTTACCGTATCAACATCATCATCATCATCAACAATGACGTCACCATAGATATCAGATCGTAGAAACTCACATATCACAAAGTCCCGAGTCACACGGCTCTCCGAGTTCTCCAGGTTTATGACGTCATTGTTGTTATTTTTATTATTTTCAATAATAATAATAATAATAATAATACAAATATTATTTGTATTATTTTTTTAATTGATTTCACTACCATTACTACTACTACAACTACTTCTACAACAACAACAACTACTACTACTACTACTACTACTACTACTACTACTGCTGCGGCTGCTGCTGCTATTACTAATGCTACTATTACTACCTATACTACTACTACTACTACCACCACCTCATCATCACGTGACCAGGGTTCAAGGCCCGCATAGGAGCGGCAAGGGCACCGAAAGGCGCGAAACTCTGCCACGAGGACTTCTGGCCGTCCTGCACGAACACGTCTGCCAACAATGACATCAACGGAGCTCACTTCGAAACATTCGAGTTAGTCACGACGACGATGATGATGGTGATGATGGTGATGATGGTGATGATGGTGGTGGTGATGATGGTGATGATGGTGGTAAAAATAATAATGGTAAATCATGGCTTTGAACTGGAACTGGGCTGAAACGAAAATTGAGCGCTATAAAAAAAATGTGAAGAGGAACCAAAGATTAAATAAATTTTTTCTTAAGTTGATCCATCAGTCTTAACTTCGAAATCAAACCGTTACCAGAGAATTTAAAAAATGTTTTAAAGTCTGGTTGACATTGACGACAATTGTAAAAGAGAGTGACGTTGCTGTACTGATGATGATAATGATAACGACGACGACGATGATGATGATAATGTTTTGATAATGATGACGATCGTGCACCAACAACAGCGATGAAGACGACGACGATGATGATGAAGATGGAGTCAGAATTGAAACTAATGATATATTTTTAGTAAAAACCAGCCGACGAGATGTTGCTGTGTTTGTTTGTATTGATCCAGTTTGCTGGTTGGTTGGTCTGTTGGTTGGTTGATCCTTGTCGTCATGGCAGCAACAAACTGTGTCATCAAATGAATGTTTGTCTTGCGACATTTTAACGTCGTCAGGTTTATCTTATAATTTTAATTGCACGCACATACACTTGTAAAGAAATATGCTTTCATATATGTGCATACCCTTGTGTGTTTTTGTGTGTGTTTAGTTGTGTGGTTGTGTGTTTGTAGTTGTGTGTGTAGTTATGTGGTTGTTATGCACCTAAGAACCTCACAAGCGTAGTGCAAGCAAGCATTATTCCTACTAGTCCGATACCAAGTTTGTAGATAAATATTCAGACCTTCAACGTACACACACGTGCCTTCTTGATGATATCATGATACGATGCAATGATGATATCACGATACATACAACACAAAAATAACAAAACCGTTGCATGCATCTTTAAAGACTTATCTGCAACCTCAACCTCAACATCGTCGTCATGAAAATGCTAGCATGTCATCCAACTTATCTTTATCTTAAAGCGTAAAATTTCTTCCTATGAGAGAACAGAAAGGATCAAGTTGACGGAAAACAAATCATATCTGAATGTCAACGATTCACGAGTGTTGTTCGTCCCTCGTGCCTAGTTTTCCACGGGCAGGCATTGATTTCTTCGCGACGCATCGCCGTCTCCATCCATTCCACACTCAACTCAGTCTTTGTCGTCGGAAACATTTAATTCCACGCTCTGCTATTTCATTTTCTTCCATCTTTATAGAGTGCAACCCTTCTCTTTCCAAACCCTCGTTGTTTCCTCTTTTGTATTTTTCTATCGACATTTGATATTTTTTGAGTTTACGTCTGAGTTAAAAACTAGTTGAATTCTATCACTTATAAATTATAGAACAAAAATCCATTTCATTAGATGAGTTGATCAAACTCAATTAATGTAATTTAATTGTTTATCTGTTAATCAAAAATATATATGAAAGTTTTTAATGAATGAAAATTGTTGACTGATGGGTTGCTTTTCAATTTCATTTATTAAAAAATGTTCACTTTTGTTTACTATGGTCTCAAATCTTCTACCTGGTATTACAGCACATAGAACAATATTTTTATAGCACGCAGTTCGTTCACTGAATACACTCTGGCTAAAACATTTCAGACATTTAAATTAAAAAGAGAAAAAAGCATTTCTTCAATTGATCAGTTCAAAGATAGCGTTGCTGCAACTAATGAAGGCAGCAACAAAGAAAAACTTCAAGAAAAATCTGCAAGAAAGTTCCCGTCAAGTGAGATTTGCCCCTGTGTCCAACTTCATCAACGTTCTTTTTAATTTCACTTTTTGTGTGGTGGCTGTTGAAAAAAAAACACAATTTAATTTTATATGAACAAGCTGACCTCACTAAATTGAAGATCACACAGAAGAATTTGTTTTACACAACAAAGCCTGCAACTTCAGCCATGTTTTTGGGGTGAATACAAACTTCAGCCCTCATGAACATCTTATCAAAAAATATGGATGGTTGAATAAATATGATTTAATGAAGTAACGACTTAAAAAAAAGTTTAGAGATTGAAGAATGTCGAAGTTTTTGCAAGAAAGCAATGAATGAATGCTTTCGACATTTCATCGTCCACTGTTATGCAGAGTCTAGGTGGGTAGGTAGGTACATGAGTGTCACAACTGCCACCTAGATAGTTGTAGCGAAAGTTTTGAATATAATTTCATGAAATATTTGTTGTCTTTGAAGCAGAACGAGCAGAGAGAGAGACTTATTTAACGATCGCTTTTCGAATATTGCTCTATTGTCAGAGGAGACTTCGTACATGCGATCGTTCCAGCCGCTGTTTGAGGCACGTTCAATTATGCATAAATAGGAATTATTCGTTTGTTTGCTCGTTCGATTATTCATAAGTGGCAAAAAATATGTGCACAATCGTTTATAATATTTACATAATGAATGAAAGCCTGGCGTGCAAGTACATCAATTTTTATTGTGTAGCGAGGAGAACAATGCTACCTGCGATGAATGATGTCGGCGCTCCTGCCATTCTTCAACTGAAGCCATAAGTGGCCATCAAATATGCGATGTCACAAATCGTCGCCATCACGCAAGCACACGCACTGCACGTATTGTCTTGCTGGGTCCGTCACACATGAGTATAGATGGATGAACGTGTGTAGTTGAAGTTCACTCTTCGCAAGCAATCCAGCCACTCGTCTCATTTATTCCAGAGAAAACTTTTTCAAAACGTTTTTCTAAATGTCCAAAAAAATATTGGAAGTGTTTTAAAAAAATTTGATTTAGATCCAGTTTGTGTGGGCAAGTATGTGTTCAAGCCAAGCACGGACTGTTTGCGCTCTTAATGATCGGCACTCTCGAGAAACAACTTTGTAGTAAAAAATGAACTCATTCTGATACGGTGCGTCAATTTGCATGTCTCATATTTGTAATGCTGCAGCTGTTTGCTCTTTTAAAAAGTCTTCTGAATTCAATAAATAAAATTAATAAATAACATATTTTTGTAAAAAAAAATACAAATGCAGTGCATGAAGTAATAAAACATTAAATAACGAAATGTGAAAAGATATTTCTTGTTTGAATGAAACTCCCAACTGCGTGTTTGTTAAAAATATGGCTTTGCTAACTTTAAAACATAAAAAAATTACTTCACAATCAACCCGTAAAAGTTGTATAAACAAGATCAACATAGAAAACAACGTAAAGGAAAGAGGAAAGAAAGTGAGAGGGAGAGAAAGAGAGAGAGAAATGTGGAGCAGGATGTAACAACACTAAACTGGAGCACATAAAGATGATGAAAGAGCGGCATTGATCACGTGAGCGCCTGCAAAGAGGACCTGCCATTATAAGAGATCCAGATTTTCTGATAAATGTTCCTCTCCTTATCTCCAAGCGAAGATTTCAACAAAATATTTGTAAAAAAAACATACAACCAAATGTTTCAATTCAGTTTTGGGTTAGCTGAATAGTTGAAGAATTTATAATGTTCGGAATATTCCAGCATAGATCTTTGCAACGTTTGTAAAGCTCATATCGAGACTTTCCTTTTAAAATAATTAATAATATGTAGAAATTATCTTGAAACATTTTAAAACTTAGAGTCAAACCAAATAAAAATTAATCAAGCTAAGCTGAGTTGGCTCACATACCACGTTTGGTTGCGTCGGTAAACGTTTGTAACATTGGCAACGTGAACAACCTAACTCAGTAATAAAACGAACAATCATTTTTTCAAACGAATGAAACAAATGTCAGCTGCACTAGAACAAAATGGATGAATGATGAATTTCATTCTGTTCCTTCCTTCCTTCCTTCGTTGAAGAGAACTCGATAGCAGGCAGGCAGGCCTGATGACATTGAACATTCATTTGTGTTTGCGGGCAGGCATTTGAAGGAAGCAGACGTTTAATCAATAAGGAGGGAAGTGCAGTTTGCTGTTTGAACGATGTCCGAAATCAGAGCAAATTGTATGAGATGTGTTTTTTTGCTGTTAAATAAGTGAAACGTTGGAGTGGAAGTTTCATGAAGATCTCTGTGGATGCTCTGAATGTCGGGTTCCACTTAAAAACGAAACAGAAAAAGTTGCAATCAAGTTTGCTAATTTGTTTCATACATATTAATAGCACCTACAGACGGTTATGATGATGGTGATGATAATGATGATAAGATGATGATGATGATAATGATTTTTAGATATAACCGTGTGATGTTTTGATGGCAACCACTAAAAAATTTTTTTTGACAAGTAAATATATGTAAGTTTGCCCTCCATCCTTTGAATGAAATTTTTAAAAGAACCAAAGTAAATAGAACAATCGACATACTCTCAAATTTAGAAAAAAATAATTAAATAAGAAAAATAAGAATTTAAAATTTGAAGATTTGCGAATTTGACGCTAAGCGATGGAGTCGTAGTTTAAATGGCAGTTAATTAAATTATTCAACCGGTGCTTCATTCAATTTACGGTGTAATTGCAAGAAAAACTTCAGTCATCACTCACGAAATAATTTAAAAATGTAATTTTGTTGAAATTTTGCTGTTCATAGACGAAGAATTTGTACATACTAACCGTACAAGGAAACATGAAATAATGTTTTGCATGTAAGTGCATCTAAGTAACGCTAGGAAAGATGTAAAATAAAACGCTATCTTTTTAAAATATTTGGAAGGCATTTGCTTGGCAATCGTATCTGCTGTTGGTGATGGAGTCAGGTCAAGTTAGGGAAGGAGTCGTGAGACATTTGGTGTCAGGCAGGCAAGTACTCATTCGGCGAACTGAACATTTACTGTTAGGATGTACTGGGGAATGATGAGTTGAATGAACTAGCGGTCAACAAATATTTTGTTACAATTGCTTTGAAGATTAAACAAATTTACTGTGGGATTTTCTACAAAAAAGGTTATTTTGTTTATGATGTTCAAATAAATTTATTTTAAAAATAGACTAAACATCAAAAATACATTTTTGCTTAAAATTAATTTGCATATAAAATTTGGAAAGAATTTTCCAACGAGCATTTTTTGAAGTGACATCTAACCCAGGAACAACATAAACCAGACTTAAGTACACATTTCAATTCTGGCAGTCATATTTATTGTACTCCAGCAAATATTCATTCCACCCGTTAAGAATTTCTTAGAATTCTATCGTTAGAATAGTCTCGTATTTGCGCTCATAAGTATGCGTGTGTGTACATGTGCGTATGTAGGTGCGTGCATGTAGGTGCGTGCAGATGATTGCGAATAACGCAAATATTAAACAAAAATATCCATCAATTGCATGGGCCCTTAAGACGCAGGCTGTCTCAGACGAACATAGCGTCGGTCAATGATCAGTTCTTTCTTCTTCAGAGGGTCAAGTTATGCTGGGCAGTGTTTGTAATTCGTTCCATGTTTAACAAAATGATGTGGTTTCAGTTTAGTTTTTGTGATTTTTTGGTGATAAATAGAGAATTATGATTGATTATTAATGTTGAATAATGAATTTTTTATCTGGTGCGACTTCTTTCAACTGTTACTGCAGCCATTACAAATACTACCAATACATTCATGGTAATAAGGATTGAAGTACTACTCCTGCTACCACTACTCCTATCACAACTACTTCAACAACTACTATTTCCAATGCTACATCTACTACTACTGCTACTACCATAAAACAATTTTTATTATAGTTATTAATAATATTATTATTAAACAAAAGATAACAAATTTTATAACATCATGGCTTTAATAACGCACCGACTAGAAATATTATTGAGACTCCGCAACAACCAATTACAGCAGATCAAAATTTATAATGAGTGAACCACTCCCAAAGTTCCTCATCCATTAATACTACAAAGTTTCAAAATCTCTCTGCACCGTTTTTTGATGCACACAAGGAAATGAACTGGCATGTCAATATAACGTGCAAACATCAACATACACACGTCGACATACACACTTATGTACATACAAAAACATACACTTGAGCGTCATAGAAACAAAAACACACACACATGCTAAAACACACACACATGCTAACACACACACACACACACATACACACACACATTCAATATTTTAATACTTTTATATGCATACAAATTACTACGACGGCAAGCAGGTTTTCTTATTTTTCTCCCCTCGTACACTCGGTGCATTTGCATGTGTTATATTGTATAGGTTTGTATGTTGTATAGGTTTGTATGTTTTGTATGTCCTGTCATGTATGTTGTACAAGCCTGTATGTCTCGACCAACCCAGATGTATGTTGTATGAGTTTGTATGTTCTTGAGTCTGATATATAACTATATTTTTGTTTGTTGCATGCTTTTGTATATGACGGCTTGCACTGCACACCATTCCCATTGTATTAAATGCATTTGATGCATGTTGTACAGTCGCCGTACTGCATGAAATTGCACGCTTTGTGCGGCTGTACGTTATAAAAGCGATGCATGCGCGGAATATTTTCCCGGTTTGTTTGCTCTATATTTATTATACATCCAGGCAATGTGTATTAGGGAGGTTTTCTTCTCTATATTTGTACACTCGCATATTAAGTCGTATTGGTAGGTTTGTACGGTTGTGGGGTACGTACGCGTGTGCGAATGTTCCTTTCTATGTCTGTTTGGAATGCATGCACATATGTGCGTTTTTGTGTGTTTCGTAATTGTGCTTTTATTCAATCATATTTCTCGGATAAATTTAATGACCATAAAAATGTTATTTTTGAATCAGAACATGAAAGCACGTTGTTGTTTTTGTTGAGAATGATGATGTGATGAAGGATGAGGTCGTGATGTCTTCTTGCTCTCTAGTTTAGTTATGGTTTCAATTTTTATCATCATCAACAACAACATCATCATCGTCGTCGTCGTCGTCCTCATCCAGACAATGTTGTTGATGTTTCTGATGATGATGACGATTACGATGATGATGAATGTGAAAGTGGGTTGGTAAAGATGAAGGATGAGATGTCGAACAATTTATTCATCACAATATTCATCCATTATTGAGTTTTTCGATCATTCGTGTCTGTGTACGACGACAAATGCATGTACATGTGTGTATGTATGTATATATAATGTATCTCAGACAAATGTTCTAAATAAGAGCTTGCCCCATGTTCGCATTTACGGTCGGCTAATATGAATTTGCTGGTGGTGGTTCCGGTAAGACGATTGTGGTTTGCTTCGAGAGATGTTGCTGTTGCTGGTCCGACCATCTGGAACAGCCTGCCGGCATCAATGAGAAGACCTGGAATTGGTCTTTTTTGTTCATAAAAAAATTGAAAACATTTTTATTTTCCGCTTGAATATGCTTAGGCCTGTTTGTATTTAGTTTATGCATAGAAGCAATTTTGTTTTCTGTATTGTTATAGTGAAATTATGCATGCTTATTTATTTATTTGTGACAATTATACACAGTAATAATTTTGTTAAATTATTTTGATAGCTCCTTTGAAAGGTTTTAAATGGCGCTATATAAATTTTTCTTAATATTTAATAATAACAATAATGTGTGGGTCGGTTTATATATTTATATAAATTTAAATTTATATAAATATATATTTTACATATTTACCAGCTTATATATATATATATATATATATATATATATATATATATTAATCAAATTTAATTTTAATTTAATTTAATTTAACATTTAAATTTAATCAAACAAAACAAAGAGTATGAAGATTCAGAGACCCAAAAAAGAAATTTAATTCTTGTAGGCTCGGGCACCGTGCAACTTAAAGTAACTTTTTAATGTCCTGATAATAAAACAAAAATAAATTAGAATTATATATATATATATATATATATATATATATATATAGAGAGAGAGAGAGAGAGAGAGAGAGAGGACCTATTTCGATTCTTCAATTATCATCAGCGCTTGTTGCAGTTTATATAGAGAATTTGTATAACCCAGGCCTTTGCTCCTGTGATTTGCATTCATTTTTATCAGTGATTTTGTTAATTTTACAGTCTTCTCTGCCAACTGATATGGTTTCTTTGTTCGAGCTGATTATAATGGTGCTATGTTTAATTGAGCTAACTTTATCGGCTAAGAAGCGTGAATCACAGAAAGCAAATTATAAATCACGTACATCTTATTTTACGTAAATACTGTTGAAAATTTGCAGTGACGATGTTGATAGTGATGATGATGATGTGGTTTCATCGAGTTTTGCTGGGTGAATTGCATGCAAAATGTATTGTTGTTGTCGTTATTGTTGCTGCTGTAGTTGCTACAAAATTGGTTGTTGATGCTTATGTGTTTTTGTTGTCGACAGCAATAATGTTGAAGCTGTTAGAATTATTCTATGCTAATGTTTTTGTTAAATGTCAGTTGTTTTCTTGTCTAGGTTGACGATGACGTCACGTTGACGTGGATGACGTAGTTGGTGAAGCGGGAATAGCATGAAGCAAATAAAAAACTTCCCTCGCCCCATCACCCTGATGTTTTTGGTTCAGTGGGTGATTGCATTTTTCGCAATTGCGTCTGTCCTATTTGAAACAATGCGTGCTACTTCGTTTCCATACCTGCATTCAATTACGCTCGTGCTTCATTTTATTTTCCAGACAATCAATTCTTTTGTCATCTGTTCATTCGTTGGTTCGTTTAAACATTTGTTCATTTGTTATGTCTTTGTTTGTTCATTTAGGTCTTTGTTCATTCATTTTTATATTTGTGTTTGTTTATTGTTTGTTTGTTTATAGCAGCATTGCTTCATCTTGCTGGTTAATGGTTAAATATTTGAAGGAAGGTCCTTCAACGCCAACCAGTCCTCTGAAAAAATTTCAAGTTAAACTTTGCCTTCTTCAGCGTACAATGATAATTATCACCATCATCATCGCCATTGTAATCATTACCATTATCATCATCATCATCATCATCATCATCATCATCATCATCATCATCATCATCACTATCATCATTATCAACATCGTAATCATTACCACCATCATCATCATCATCACCATCGTAATCATCATCATCATCAGCACCCTCATCCCCAGAGCGAACGGCTGGCTGCAGAACAACCTTGACATCTACCTGATCAAATGCGAGACGGTCGAGAAGAAGGTCACGTGCATCGAAGACGTCACCAACGATAGTTGCATGTTTCTACCAAAAAACCATCATGCCGCCTATGTTAAGGGATTGAGGTGATGATGATGATGATGATGATGATGACGATGCTGCTTGTGCTGGTAATGATGACGGAAAGGATGGTGGTGAGGATGACGATGATGGCAATGGTGGTGATGTGGGTGATGGTGAGAAAGATGACGACGATGATGGCGATGATAACAATAATGTTAACGGCAAAATAGTTGTACTACTGTAAAGTTACTTTTATCAACAGCGTCAAACTTGGTGGGGTGTTAGTTCATTTTCTCGTGATTCTCGTTTTGTTATTCTGCGCTAGCTGACCTTCCACACAGCCGTTAAAAACATGCGCTGTAGTCGACAAAAGCTCCAAAGTTCGTTTCCCCCTATGTTGTAATTTTCCGCTAAGTTCAAGAGAAAAGTTTTTGGCGTCTGGCTTCATTTTTTAAAATAACTTGCAAGAACTTCATCAGCTGGATGAAGTTCAAGTAATGTGAGTTCAGTTTCATTTCGGTTCAATATGAATTGGCGAAAAAATTCCACAATAGCACAAAAGTTCGTTCAGAATTAACTTTTCTGCCATCTTGTCCATAAATATCTTATATCACGATGGTAATGATTGGATGATTGATGATGATGATGATGATGGTGTGTTTTTATTGATGGTGATTGATGATGATGATGATGATGATAATTATAGAAGCCAATGATGATGAAGATTGTGATTAGATAGGTTGGTGGTGATGGTGATTGTAATGGTGGTAATGATGTCGTTAATAATGAAGAAGAAGAAGAAGAAGATGATGATGATGATGATGACGACGATGACGACGATGATGGTGATGATGATACTGCTGTCATTGTTGAAATGATAATGATTGCGAGATGGTAATGATTGTAAAAAGTTGATGACATTGATGATGATTGCGAAATTATGTTGATGATGATGCTGTTGATGATGGTAATGATGTTGAGAGGATGATTGGTGGTGCATGACAATTTAATGAACACGTGGTCTGCGATGGAAATCATTATGTTGTGATAGTGATGATGATGATGACGATGATGATGACGAAGATGATGACGAAGATGACGATAGTGATGATGATGACTGCAGAGGTAATGATAATAATACTCACATAACCATAAATTGAAAAATTTCACCAATGACCAACAAGAGTAATAAAACTCATAATAGTAATGATCAAAATGTTGGCAATGTAGATGTTGAATATTGGAGAATGTTGGAAGATGTTGAATGTTGGAAGATGTTTAATGTTGGAGAATGTTGAATGTTGAAAAACGTTGAATGTTGGGGAATGTTGAATCTAGTATGTTGAATGATGAATGTTGGATGTTGAATATATGAAGATCGAAATGCTGGCAAGCATGTCAAAAATTTGCTGGGGGTGGTGATAGTGATGGCTGGCTCCGGGACTGCGCGCGTAATGTTGACGATGATATCTTAAAAATTAAAAAAATGGTAATATTGGTGACAGGAACACAGTTTAATAAAAAGTATTTTCAACAAAATAAAAATATTGAATAAAAAAGATAACGAATAACAAAGATAATAAAATTGTATACATCAGCATTTTCCGTAGGTTTAACACTTAACAAATATATTTTCCAATTCAAAGATGGCAGTTTTTAAACACCAAATAACAAAATCTGTAAATAAAAACACCTCCAACAAGCAAACCCTCAACATCAAACACCCCCATCCCTTCAGATTATGGTACGTGAACGTGACAGGGACCCGCAAGCTAGCCCTGGAGAGCATGGCCCCCAGCGAGATTGGCTACATGAACGTCATTCCGAAATGCATAGATGCGTCAGGCAAGTACCCAAAGTATGAACACCTCCCTGAAACGTACGCGGCCATCAACGCTTACCTGGCTGGGGCTCCTTTGGAAGGTTCGCAGTCTGCTGACATTGACAGAGTTCGATAACAATCGGAATAATGTCTCAATCTCTCAATAATGTCTCATTTGTAAAGCCCTTCTACCCAACGTCTCAGATTCAATTTTCGGCAAAAACTATGCGTAAATATTCATACGCTGTCTCAAATCCGATCACTACTACAGCACATAAAATCTGCCATCAACTTCATCACCATTATCATGTGATGTCGTGGGATGTTTATGTCACATGACGTGATATTGATGTGAGGATGGTTTTTAATGTTTTGATGATAGCAGCTGATAACAATCCGGATGTTGAGGATGCAACTAATGATGATAATGATGATAATTACGATGACGACTGATTTGTTGACTCTTAAAAAGGCCACGACAAAACAATGGAGTTAATATCATCAACATCACGTGACATCACATGACGTCAATCAACATCACATGACTCGACATCCACGTCACGCAACAGGCAAAATAGTAACAATAGAAACAGTTCCATTGAAACTTCCTCGGAAGCAGTGGAAGAGCTTCGAGATCAATCCAGACGAGACGTACTTTCCCGATGAGTACCTCAGACACGTACTCAACATCACAAGGATCTACTTCCGCTACGGAGAACCGGAAGTTGAACTGATAGGTACGTGATGTTGTTGCTGCTATATATATATATATATATATATATATATATATACATGTATATATATTTATACATACAGTATGTATATATATATGTATAGAGGATATATATATATATATATAAGTATATCCTCCAAACTCCAAACATACATATAAAAACTGTATATATATACATATATATATATATATATATGTATATATATATATATATATATATATATATATATTCAACCGAACATAGTGCGATAATGTGTTTGTTTGTGTAGACATCACTCATCATTGATTGGTTGGATGCTTCCTGGAGTGGTGGTTGATGTGGCGTTTAGACTGACCACAACAGATTTGAAGTATTTGCAAACACACATGTCTTGCAATCTAATGCATTTTGTATTTATGTGTCAAGTAATTGTTTACACGTGTGTTTGTATTAAGTTTTTTTGTATGTGTGCGTGTGTTTGTGTGTATTTGGGTGTGTTTGTGTGTGCGTGTATGTGTGTGTGTATGTGTGTGTGTACACCGAGCCAGTATGCATATGTTTTGATGCATATGTATAATTGTTTTGCTGGTTGTATGATTTAAAATGATGAGTGAGTAATTATTACCTGTACTTATGTTAGTATATTTTGTGTTTTTACATGTAAATATGTACGTTTGTTTGTTTGTATGTTTGCATGTTTGAAAGTTAGTATGTTTGCACGTTTGCATGTTTGTATGTTTGCATGTTTGTATGTTTGTATGTGTTTGTATGTAAGTTGAGAGCCACGTATGCACTGTACAACGTTGATAAGCTATGATCCATGCCGCCAGGAAGGTTTCTATTATGCACGGCGACTAACTTTTTAACACACAAAGAGAAAAGTGCTGTCTCCACCAGGTAACACATACACACATACAGACTCATTTATAGAGATATATATATGTATGTGTGTTTGTGTGTGTGTGTGTTTGTGTGTGTTTGTTGTTGAACAACAATGACAATGTCGGTGATTCACGTCCATTCACTCGATAATTTGCTTAATTGTTAACAATGAGATATATGAGATATTTGTAATTAAAACGTTATATAAATAATGCAATATTGCCGTATTAATTACTCTCTCTCTCTCTCTCTCTCTCTCTCTCTCTCTCTCTCTCTCTCTCTCTCTCTCTCTCTCTCTGAGAAAAACAAATCATTAATCATTTCGAATTATTGGGAGGCTGATGTATTCAGATTAAATTTTTTTTAATTTCGTATTGAAAAAGAAATATAAAATGTTTACAAATTTAAAACTTCATTCAAAAACACACATGCACACACACACACACAACCACAAGAAAGGCAATGCAAGCCCACACGTACACACACACACACATCACACATACTTATACACACACCACACACACGCGCACACACACACATACCGAACCAGCATACGAAACATTTGTAATCATGAAAACCGTTATCATGAGAATTAAATGAGTGTGATGTTCTGGGAAAATATTAACATATTGATATGGAAACCACCAGTGCACCAGTCTCAAAA